AGCGTTTGTTTACATTAGCCGGTGAAGATTGGATTTTCTGGTAAAGCACTTGTTGTAATGTTATACACATTGTGCCGCATTAATCCTATTCTGACTCAGTACAAATTGCCATTTTTATTCCTTGCAAAGTTGCAATGCTCAGTTATTATTGCATCTTTTATTCATATGCATAAAATAAAGGTAATAACCTTCCTTAAAAAGTTCCACAGGCAGCTCTGGATTTAGGTGCACGAGCTGATGCAGCAGGGTGACAAATCAAAGTCAGAAAAATGCCTGTTTGTACTGCTCCAATGTCTCTTGCACCTGCAATTTAACAGCAAAATTTTTCCATCCTTCAGATTAAATAACTAACCCACCCTACAGATCACAGCATACAGTAGATATCCCCAAGTGAGCTTCAAACAAGGTAGCTCAGGTACCAGAAATAGTGTAGCCTCAGCAATACCATGACCCCCTTTCTGCAGGGCCTGCTTCTGGTACTCAAGATACCCAAGGTTGCTTTAAATGAGCTATGCTGCAGATTGCTTTAACTGAGCTATGCTGCAGATTGCTGTGTAAATATATCCTACCGGCAAACGGTCTTGCACTTTTCCCTCTGTTATTTACATACAGGAAAGTGGATTGAGGGTGCCCCTATTGTGTAAAAAGCCTTGCTAGGACTTCAGGGCTAAGTACAGAGACTCAGAAAGCCTGAGCCTGAATCGATTCAGTCTTTGCAAGTTAATGTAACCTGTGCAGACTGAACCAAAGTGAATATTAGCCCCCCACATGCCTGAACCCCTACTTCTGTCCCTAGCCTAGGAGGCTGCTGGTAGGGGTTCAGGCATGTGAGAAGCTACCTGAAAGATTAGGAGCTGACAGGTGAGCTCAGTGGGGAAGGGGAAAGCTTTTGCTGGACTTTAACTTGGTGACTCCCTGCTCTGAAAGGGGTTGAACTCAACATCAAGCCACAACTAGAACTGAAGTGGGCTGAGGACTCCAACAAAGAAGCTCAGGCAGAGCTGTCCTGATACCACAGCTGGAGCTATGCAGGGAGGGTGCCTCCACCACTCTGGCTTGAAGGAAAAGCTGGAACAACTGAGAAGTAAGCGCTCTTAAATGTGGCAATGCCGGTCTAGGAGCAGCCTTGGCTGTAATGCGACCCTCCATCTGCCAACCTCTGTAAACCTGAAACTCATTCTCAGGCACATATCAAGACTGAGGTAATTACTAGGGGTGTGCGAAGTGGGCCCTATTCGATTTGGATTTGGATTCGGCCCAAATCAGGGACAGTGATTCAATTTGTTGATTCAGATCACTGTCCCTGCTTCGATTTGGCTGAATCCGAATCTGAAGATTCAGTGCTGATTCGGACATAGACACAGCTTTAAAAGTTTTTTCTATGTACCTTGAGGTACCAGGCATGGCTCGTGCTGGGGCGCATGGAGCGTCCCACAGGAGTGCGGGGGGAGGGTGGGCCTCCATGTGCTTGGCGGTGAACCCAGAAGTGGACCGGAAGTACTTCTGGTCCACTTCTGGGTCTGCCAGGGAGCACGCTGGGCCCTGCACCCCTCTGGCTTGGTGATCGGCTGCAGGGGGACCCTGGATGCCCCCCCCCCAGACCCAGGAGGCACTAGTCACTGAGCTGAGGGGAGGGTGATCCACTCCAGTGCTTCTGGTCCACTTCCGGGTCTGCTGTGCAGTGCACTGGGGAGCACCCGCACTTCTGTGGGACACTCCATGCGCCCCAGCATTGCAGCATTCCCCAGCTACCTAGAGGTATGTAGAAAAAACATTTAAAGCTGTCTATGTCCAAATCTCTGAATCTCCCTGAATCGATTCAGAGGGTTCCAATTCGATTCAGAGAGATTAAAGGGTCCTTTGATTTGATTCAGATTCAGAGATTTGGCCACCAAATTGGGCTGAATCTCCGCCGAATCGAATCAAGGACCGAAGCTTTGCACATCCCTGGTAATTACTGCTGTTCTTTGGATGCTTTCCCAATCTAGCAGTGTTCATTGCCTTCTGTAAGCTGAAGCTCTTCTAGCTTGCTTTCCTTAGCTGCCCTACTGCAGCCAAGCACTAAAAAATTCCCTGGTTCTTCCAAGGTAGAACTTTTGAGATAAATATCCTTGGTAGCCTTAAGGTGTACATGCTTCGTGTCCTCTCAACTGAGACCGCCTTAAGTGAAGGCACTGGTACTTGATGATGAGATAGGAGAGCTCATATAGTTCTCTGATCAATGATATACACCCAGCACTGGGTTTGCTCAGTGAGTGGGAGGACTCTTAGGCTAGAGACAGCAATTACACATAAACTGATCAAAATGATCAGAAACTAGCTCAAATCCGTAATACCACAGGGCTAGGGACAAAAATTACACATAAACCAGTTTAAATCATCAGAAACTGGTTTAAACCTGTAATATAACAGAAGCTCAGTGCACATAAATCAGTTTCAAAATGGCTGAAACTGGTTTAAGATAAACCTGGTTGAATGTAGTATCAGACTTAACTGATTTGGGTCAAACTGGTTTATGAATCTTCTGTCTCAGACTCCTTCCTGGTTCAGGTTAAATCACAGTCCCCCAGAATCTCAGCATGCTTTGCATCCCTGGGCTGGGCTGTGCTGTCAGCCCCAGCAGAGAAGGGTTGGTGGGGGAGGCAGGGTCTGCCCCAGGCAAACCCTGGCTGGGATCTGGGGCCAGGGTGGGAGGTTAAATTCCTCTTCCCCTGAGTACAGAGCTACCCTACACTGCCCTGTTAAAAACTTACTGCTGGCTGCAACTGTAGACTACAAATCCCAGAGGCACCTGGAACCAGGAAGAGGAAGTGATGAGCAACCCTGCAGAGTCCCACTGCTGTGATTGAGGGCTGCAAATCCCAGAGACCTTGGGGGCAGCAGGAAGAGAAAGCAAATACACAGCCTATGCTGGCTGGCCACAGCCCATGCCAGAGTGCTGTGCTCTAGTTCCCTCCAGCTTCTGGCCTGAGCCACTGCAGGCACGTGACTGCATTTCTTGAATCAAAAGTGAATGTCCAGCCAGTTGTTTATCAGTTTAATCTCTGCATCTTGGACTAACCTGCAAAGACTGAATCAATTCAGGCTTTTTGACTGTCTGTACATAGCCCAGAAGTTCAGTGCACATAAACCACTTTCAAAGTGGCCAAAAGCTAGTTTAAAATAAACTTGGATGAATGTAATATTAGACTTAACTGACTTATGTTAAATTGGTTTATTGACCGTCTGTCCCAGATCCCCTCCAGATTCAAGTTAACTCACAGTCCTCCAGCATCCCAGGTTGCTTTGCACCTCCCTTGCAATACCCCCTTCCCCCCCAGGGTGGGCAAGCTAGTCTTAGCCCAAGCTGTCTTCTTCAGTTGAGCAGGAAGGTATGCTCTAGCCCTCCGTCCTTCCCACCCCCAGCTTCTGGCTTGGGCCACTGCAGGCTTATGGCTGCATTTCTGAATCAAAAGTGAATGTCTGTTCACTTGCTTATCAGTTCAACCCACACAGCGTAGACTAATCTGCAAAGACTGAATCAATTTAGCCTCAGGCTTTTTGACTATCTATCCTTAGGCCTATTGACATGAATGTTCTTGGGCTCAGGTGCCAGGCTCTCAAACTCCTTTGCCAATTTGCTGCCATGGACTCAATGTAAAAGTAGGAATGGCTCATGTCATCATTGGTTGTTCTAAACTACTGACCAGAAATGGAAAAGAGAATAGTCCAGGACATGACAGCTTCTACTTGTACAAGGATCCTGGCAAATGCCCTTGGAGACTGCCCAAAAGGTTAAAATATTCCCAGTGAAGAGGCAGCTGAAAAAAACACCTTTCTGTAATTAAAACATTAAACAGTGTGGGCTCATCTCACTGACTGACCATCCTCATAACATTACACTAGCAACCAAAATTTTGAATGGCCCCTCCCCCCAAAACTGTGCTAGCAATATATGCTGGTGCTCCCTTCTGCACATAATAAGTGGGTAATTATCTGCATTAGCATCCATTTTGATTTTGCACAATTGTGGGGTCCTGCATGTGTAGCTGGAGCCCCTTTGGAAATCTGGCCCTTCATGTGGAAATTGCATGAATATTGCTGTCATTTTATATTTAAAAGTGGTCACACATACGCACATACACAAAAGAGCTGCTTTAGCATGCCATCAGTGCTCATTACAGGGTATTGTATCCACTGGCACAGATGGGAAACCTGCTAGGGCGCGTCAGCATATCAATCCTTCAGATGAAAAGGCTGCGAATTCAAAACCTGGATTCTCTCATTGGAAAGGATTTGGAAGTGCAATGCTTACAGTACAGTGTCAGTGAACAGGGTAGCACAGAGTGACACTGTAGGTATGTCTACAGGCTGATGCACTAAGTCTCAAAAACAAGCAGCAGCTAGGAGGTCAGGCATCCTAAACATAGAAGGTATTTATCTTGATTAATCCTTCACTAGTAGGGCTTGTCTTTTCTCTCTTTCTTAGGGACTGCAGTAAGCAGGACAGTATTTTTATCTGCAGTCAGTTTGCTCTCTGAAACTCCTTCCTGTCTTTAAAAAAAATGAAACCCTCCAAACTCTCCATTAACAACAATGGTCATTGCCTTTTGCAAAAGTCATTTTTTGATCCTTGTAGTGGAAGAATAATGTGATCTGGCCACTACAGACAATGACAGACAAAATCTACCATGTGCTTCAAAAACAGGACTGTGTACCTTTGGGTTTGGAGAAAGTTTCCTTTGTTCTTCCTGCCATTTCCAGTTTGAGAACAGAACCACTCCGTAAATTAGCAGTGAATTCTGTAGCAAAGATCCTGTGGCTTTTGGTTAGACGAAATCTTATGAGACAGCTTCTGGGAATTAAAAGAGGGGAAAAAATCTATTGGGGGGGAAACAGGTGCATGTAAATTAAAAATAACTCCATAGAAAGCAATGTGTTTCAGCGGCATCCCAATACTGCTGCGTTCCTGTCTTGGTGACCTCTCCGTCTGCCTAACCTCTACGTATCTCCCTCCCCAGGTGGAATTGGCTGCCTGGGTCGAGACAGGGGGCAGGCACGGAAATGTCTTGATGCAGTGGAGATTTATAACCCAGATGGAGACTTTTGGAGGGATGGGCCTCCTATGCCTTCTCCTCTCCTCGCCTTACGAACCAACTCTACCAATGCTGGCTCTGTGGAGGGGAAGCTCTATCTTTGCGGAGGATTTCGTGGAGCAGGTACCACACAAATCTGACCAGAGTTGGTTTCGTCCATAATTCACCTTTTCTGTTCCCTGGCACTAACAGACCTTCAGCAGGTGACCTAGTTTTAATCACACACTCTCCAGAACCAGAGTTGATTCAGCATCTCAGCATTTCTGCTTCCTAATGGCAATGTATATTGTGTTCCACGAGGTTTACTCTCAGCTGATCTTTTCAGTGCAAACTAAAACACAAAAGGACCAGGTACTAATCTCTGTTGCCTCTATCCAAATCGTAGGAAAATAAGGCTGGACAGGATCTCATAAGGTCATCCAATCCATCCTTCAGCTTCAGGGCAAGATCATCCCTAACTAAACCATTCCAGTCAAATAGCTGTCTAACCTGTCCTTGAGCATTTCCAGGGCTGGAGGTCAAAGTAACTCCTCATACTTCAGCAGTATTATCTTGGGTTTACATCAGTGTAAATGAGATCAGGAACTAGTCACACATTTATGTTCTGCTCCTTCAAGAACTTTTAGATATTTTTCTAAAACTAGGGCTCTTCCTGGCTGTCCTTTGCCAGACATCTCTAAATTCACTCCATTACCAGAGCATGTGAGGTTCTCACAATATTGAATGAGTTCTCTTCATCATACCTCTGTGAGGTAGGAAGTGCTATTATTCCCCTTCTACCATGATCAGGGAATCAGTATACAGGGAGACTAAGGTCCAGATTCTGAAAGGTTTTAAGCACCCCATACTCCTGACAATTCAGTGGAAGTTTGGCACCTCAGTAGGAATTGGACACCTAAAATACCTGAGGATCTGGGCCTCAATGCCTTGCCAAAGTCACAAAAGGGAGTCTGTGGCAGAGCTAAGAACTGAGCACAGGGGTTTTGCTTCACTAACAGATAGACCATCCTTCCTCCCTGTGAGTTTTCCTCCCAAATCACTGGCATCTGCCATTTCACATCTTGGCTAACTGCACATTTCAGTGGTTTTGTATGTACCCTGTTAATAAAACACCACAGTCCTTTGAGGCAAGAAGCACTATAAAAGATTATATTACTGTTATTATTACCCATGCACAGTCCCCAGTACTCACATGAAGCCACCTGATAGTAGCCCCCATCACAGCTCATGTTTTAGGAGAAAGCAGTGAGGCAGATGCATTCTCCAGTACTAGTGCCATGTTGAACCAACTGCTGCCCAAGATCTGCACATGGTACCACTGTGAGATACAGATCCTCCACATGGCAGTGACTCCAGTCCCAATGGGTTTCACTTGCAGTTATATATGCCATAAGCTCTTGGGTAAAGCTGTCTGGGTACTGAAATTTCTCGTGTTGTTTTGTTCTACTGGTTTCCAACTCACCTTTCCTCCCACTGCTGCTGTTTAAGCAAAAAGAAGTCGCCTCCTGAAAATAATAGTACAATTGTTTTCTAACAGGCATGTTTTGGTGTCACCTTTCTGTTGTCATGTGCTTAGAATCATGTGAGCTCAGAGCACTAGCGGCTATGACACGTTATTGTATTTCTGCGGATAACACCCTGTGCCCTCATGCTTTACTAATTCTGTCTCACACCAACATTTAGGGGGAAAAAAAGCCTAAACCTAGTCAGTGCAAATCTCAAAAGATCAATCCATTCTGTCAGTAAATGAAGCAATTACATTCACTATGACTAACAGTTTAGTATAAAACTTGCTGAATAAGGGTACTATGGTGGTTCAGAGCCATAGAAACACACTGTGTAAAACACCAACACACTTTGGCACTGAGTCATATAGAGAGAGAGCCAGTACTGGGACTGGAAGAGATTGGAAGCAGTCAAAATGTGAGGAAACAGTCAAAAAGTTTCCATGTGGATTTCAAGATGGCGAAAATCTGCACTTTTTTTGCAACGTGTTTGTACAATGACAGAACAATGGGATCCTGATTCCTGTTACACCACTGTGATATATATATAATGGCATACAAAAATCTACATGACAATAATGTTATTTAAATGGGAAATCAAGCCTTTGAAAGGTAGAAAATGCCAGTTTTACAGTCATCTGTTTAAATATAATTGTACTTTCTAGTAGGCTCATTCTATTCACTGAGGCACGGTTCCTGCAGGAAAAAAACAACCTAGTATGCATATTAAAACCTGTATTAAACAAATGAGGGGACCCAAAAAAGTGCAGAGACTGTCATAAATCTGGCATTTCCTAACTTTTGAGGACATGACTGAAAAACTACATTCTTTTAATACAGTTTTTGTGTAAGTAACCTCCTGGGTTTTTAGTCAAGGTAGAAACAAAGAGTATTATCTTGACAACTGTAACAACTCCAGTCATCTGTCATTGGACAAGCACTAGATGCTGGCTGCTTGCCTTGCACTCGCTCTTCCCTCTTAGTCCCAAGTCCCATGGAAATTTGATGAGCTCCTGACCCATTTGGTAGCTGGAGGGGTAAGGAGGCGAAGTAGAGAGAGAAAGTGGTACTGGTTCTAAAGTTAGGGATTGTGGGGAGAATCAGGGATAATATAGTTTGGCTTTCCTAGGCAACAACTCAAACCCCACAAAGGGTCCTGATGAGAGTGAGCTGAGTCTGCAAGGGTATCTGAGCATGGCTATCAATGTCGAGCTTAGCACACGAGCCCTGCTCCAAAGATGGTCTGAGCCCAAACTGTGTCCAAGTCTGACACAAGGAGATTTGAGCTCTGCAAAGCATTTCAGCCCTGTTGAATGGTGAAACTGCACCCGACTTTGATGAGGCTAGTGGGCAGGGTTTTGTTTAGGGGCAATCTTGGGAAAGTCTGAGCTCTGGTCCAGATTGGGATAATGACTCCTCAAGGCTGTCCTGCTGGTAAGCACCATCTTCCCCTGACCTTGTATCTGGCTATGACCTTTCTGGGTACCAGAATGTAATTTCTGTCTGCTTGAATACCTCACCTTAACATGAATTGAGAACCTTCTTTTTAGTGGCTTACATATTAACTAGTCTGGTTCTTCCAGTAGCTAAAACTAATATCAAGGCAGGAGGGAATTATGAATCTCTTTCTCTGATACTCTGTTGCCTGTTACCAGTACGTGACACCCAGAAAGATGTTCAGAAAGGTTTTATAATTCATTTTTGTCCCTCACAGTTCATAGTTTTTCCCACTGTAAAAGCTCCATGAAGTAAACAAACTTTCAGTGCAATGCAATGGGCAATTGCCATCCAGTCATCTTCTAAGCGTTCTGCTGAGCTATTGCCATAGCTACTGATTTTAAACCAGCCTTTGCAGATCGACTGCATAATGTTCTTGTTGATACGTTTTATAATTCCTTTGCCTTTTTACATAAAACGAAACCCTGACACCTGCACAGGTTGACAGCTTTTAGCATTGCAGTCTGTGTGTATGGTATAAGCAGTCACATTAGTATGCTCCGCTGAAAGATGAGGCAAGAAGTTGTTAAGCTATACAGCATTACATTACATATTTATAAAATGTCTGCCAGGCGAGTTTCCTTTTTCTTTGACACTTTTTTTGGACTCTTTAGCCCAAGAGATACTCTTACTCTTGGGTTAAACCAACGGAGATGTGCGTGTGTTGTTTGCATGCTGGTAGTGGGATATTTGCTTCTGTGGCTGGTTGGCCAGAACTCAGAGCTGTTGACCTTCACATTACATTGCCAAATGCATGTTTTTCCTAGGCCTTTTCTGGGGGTAGAGTGAATGGATGCCATCAGTGGGAGCCTGGTTTGTAGCAGAGTTGGGGTCTTTTGAAGTGAATATTTTGTTTAATTAAGTGCTAGCCTTCATTAAGAGCATATGCTTTGGTTATCATTCAAAGCCAACACACTCACAGAGCCTTGGATACATGACAAAAGAAAAGATACCTGAATTCAAATACTGAAGGCCCTACCTGAAGCACAACCTCTGGTATTATTGGTCCATTGCTTTAAAAGCCCTTATTGTCCTCATCACGTAACTCCACTGATATGGAACTGTGTGTATCTGAAGTGCCAGCTACTCACTTCACTGTCTCAAATGCAGCAACCAATACATAGTATTTTCCCTATGGTATGTTAGAGCTTGTGTTTGTATATCATAGCTTTGTAACAGAGCCTAGCAAAGCTGGTCAACTCAGCTATGTAGAAGGCAGGGTAAATTTGCACCTTATGGATTAACCAAAGTAGATTATACATACCTATATGTGTGCATGTGTGTGTGTAATAAATATATATATATATAACATAAAATCTACTTTGGTTAATCTGTAAGGTACAAATTTACCCCACCACAGATGAGGTGACCAGCCTTGATAGGCTCTGTTAGAAGGCTATGATATACAAGCATGGTAGCCAATCCAAGCTGTAACATACTCTGTTTGTGGGTATGAGTGTGTGTGTGTGTGTGTGTGTGTGTGTACATATATATAGCACAAGCTTTTGTTAGGTGAAGCTTACTTCCTTAGAAGCACAGCATCTGATAAAATGAGCTTCAGCTCACAAAAGCTTTCTCACAAAAGTGTGTGTGTGTGTGTGTGTGTGTGTGTGTGTGTAGTTACGGTTGCACTGTAGAAGTGACAGTAGACTAAAACATATCATGGCTACTTTAATAACTGCATGTATGTATTTAATAATGCACACACACACATGCATACACACACACATACATATGTATTTTGGTTATACTCTAAGGTGTAAATCTACCCTGCCTTCTACTTGACTTCAGGCTAACATGGCTAACTACGCCTCTCAACTCAGCTGTGCCACAAGCCCCATACTATATCACAAATGGAGATTGTCCTTCAGTTCAAGGCTTTGATTCTGGAGCAGGAGGTGTGAGTTCTATCCTTGCAGTTATTAAAGTAGCTGAGGTATCTGTTCCAACCTAGTGATACTTCTGAAGTGCAACTGTAACCTTATATACAGAGCTATTTATGTCCCTAATCCTAACAAACTCTCTGGCCTCTTCCTCTTCCTCGTGTACATGCACAGTGAAAGCAAATATATACATCAGGACAGAATTTAGTTTAAAGTAATACAGAGCCATGTTGTAGTT